ATTAGTTCTGCCAGCCTTTGGCTGCTCATGTGATGCCACCTCTGCCTCGTGGGAGCTGGCAGCAGTGTGAGGGACTGGGGTGCTCAGCAGGCTTTGGTTTGCAGCAGGACTTTCCAGTGCAGAGCTCCCTCAGGCAGACTGGGACTTGTTGTGAGGAGTGTTGTGTTGCTCCGGGGTAGTGCTCTGGGTGTTTGTGCTCTGGTCTCAAGGAGCTTTTTCATTGCCACAACAAATTGCAGCATTTAATACCTGAAATGGACCCATGGCAGTTGCTTCTCTGTAGGAACCCAGCAGTGAATCAGTCCTTGCTCTAGCAAAATGGTCAAAGTGATGGGTGTAGCCATTATGGAGGTCTCTGAAAGGTGGATGGAGGGAATGAAAAATGAGTGGTTTTGCTGTTGGGCAGATGTACTTACGGCCCTGTTGGCATTGCAGGTCTTGTTGTCCCTTCCCAGAGTGCAGAGGCTCAGGTGCAGCACTGCCCTGCTAGGTGCCCCAAGGTTCTGCATGGCTTACCCTGGCCATGCTCACTGGAGAGGGGGTGTGTGTATGTGGTGTGAGTATCTGCAATGAAAATATCTCTTTCTTTTTTTTTTTTTTCAGTCAGAGAAAAAATTGGACCCATAGCAACACCTGATTACATCCAGTATGCCCCCAGCCTGCCCAAAACACGCTCAGGTAAGGGCCCAGTGATGGTGCTGGGGTGGACTGGGCAGGAACTGAGCCCTGCACTGCTTGTCCTGTGCAAATTCAGGGGGAGCAACCTCAGGGCAAACAGGATGTGGATGGGGGGGTAATTCCCACTCCTGCTAAGGATGCTGAAGAGCTCCTGACTCCTGGGGAGAGGGATTTTGATATGGGCAAATAGTGACAGGAGAGGTGATGGCTTTAAACTGAGAGAGGGCAGGTGTGAATTAGATACTAGGAAGGAATTCTTTCCTGTGAGGGTGCTGAGGCACTGGCACAGGTTGCCCAGAGAAGCTGTGGCTGCTCCATCTGTGGAAGTGTTCCAGGCCAGGTTGGATGGGGCTTGGGGCAACCTGGGCTGGTGGAAGGAGTCCCTGCCCATGGCAGGGGATGGAACAAGATGAGCTTTAGGGTCCTTCCCAAGCCAAACCATTCCATGATTCCTGCTTCCCTTCCCTGAATGTCATTACAGGAAAGATCACCAGACGGATATTAAGGAAGATTGCCAAAAATGACCAAGATGTGGGGGACATCTCCACCTTGGCAAACCCAGGCGTCATAAAACACCTTTTCAACAGCAGATGTGACACTAAGCAGTAGCAGCAGGACCTGTCCCTGCTGAGCAGAACTGTGGCAGCAGCAGCAGCAGTGTCCTGATGAGCAGGTCCCTCAAACAGCTGCTGCCAGCCTGGGAAGGAAACCTTCACCTGTTGAATTGAATGTACCAATGTTAGGAACGAGGAGTCTGGCTCTGGAGAGGCCATGGCCATGCCTTGGGGGAGGGTGTGCATCATGTTCCACATGGATATCCCACATCTGAGGTTCAGCCTCACACACAGAGGAACTCCTCCTCCTCATCCCTTTTCAGCACCTCATTCTTGATTTTAATTTAATTGGGGGGGAGAGGGTGTTAATTAACGTTATGTAACTGAGGGGCCCTGGCACCTTGTGCACAGTGGGAGGGAACTTCGGGGGTTGGAGGGGAAGTGGTGCTGGTGCAATGCAGACAGGACAGGGAGATTTATCTGCCACTGCCCACACAGCAGCCAAGCTGCCCTTCCTCCTTGGAGCACTTAAACATACTCTCACATCATCACTGTACAGCTGAGCTTGTCTTGCATTTGCTGTCCAAGCTTGTTGCTAGCAGAGGTCCCAGAGCCTGCAGGGGAGTGGGGCAAGGCTTGAAGGAGCTCTGCTTTAAACAGATTTTTGGAGCAATTTAAGACCAGGATCTGCTGCTTCCTACCTGCTTGGTGCCAGTTGGTGTGTCTGCCCTAATCTAGGGTCTTTTACTGGCCATGGGCACTTAGGAGGAAGAAAGCCTTGGTGTGACATGCTCTGTGGAGTCCCCATTCCACCTGCCCTTCTGCCAGAGCTGCTGGATGCTCCCTTTCCTCCCCCAGGACACAGTGGGGTTTGTTACACAGAGGATGGCAGGGAAACAACCAGGCAGAGGCACCTTTCCCTGGCAGGTGAACAAGGCAGGCACAGCCCTGTGAGTCCTGCGTGTTTTCTCATCAGGAAAAACCAATGGGAGATGTTTAAAGTTAGTGTGTTCTTAACCCTGACATGGCTCCACGATGCTGAGAGCTAGAGAACCCAAAACCTCTTGCCCAAGAGCCTGAACACCACAAAGGTACTGCCAAAGCCATTCTTCCTCCACTGAAGGATTTAACTCCAGCCTGGGCTGAGCTGGGGCCAATACCTCCTTTGCAATCTCTCTATGAAAACTGCATGTGAACTGTTTAGATTTTGCACTTAAACCAAAGGAGAAATGGGCTTTAAAACTTGCTGCCACAGCTGTTTTGGTGAGTGCTAGTGTACAACAGGCTCTACCTGCAGCCTGAGCTGCCTCTGGGCTGGGGTGCTCAGGGCAGGTGTTGTGGGTGCTCTGCTGAGCTGTTGGCCAAGTCCCAGGTCTCACTTCCTACCTGCTGCTCTCACTGGCACAGCACGTGTGTCACCTCTAACCTTGGTGCCTGCCAGTGTCCCACCTGCCCCCATGGCTCTGTACCCCTGGATTGTGCCACCTTGGTGACAAGGATTCCTACATCCTCACTCCTCTGTTACTCTTTGTCAGCTCTGTAATTTTTGGCTGGAAACAGCAAGAATTTCATGCAAAATGGAATAAAATTCAAGGAAGCAAAATGCCAACAGGCTTCGAGTGTGTGGGGGGTGTAGGTGCTTGTGTGCTGTTGAGGCTGGAGGTTCTGAGGGTGCTGGAGTGGCCATGCCATAACCAGGGTTGGCTTTTGGGATGGGGAGGGACAGGTTCCTACCAGATGCTTTTCCATGGACTGGAATTTGCAGGCTGTGACTGTGCTGGGCTAAGGGCAGAAGCTCTGGCTCCAGCAGTGGAGCCTGTACCTCAGTTTCTCCCTGGTCTCCAGCCAGTGTTGTTCCACTAGGGCGCATGGAAAGCACAAGGACAGGGTGATGTGTGTGTCACCAATCCCCTCATGTCAGGGAGATGGGTGAGCAGCTGAGGAGGCTCAGGGCTGTCAACAGCTGCCTCTGCCTCCACTCTATGGTCCCCAGTGTCACCCAGCAGCTGCCAGGCTCTGCTCCAGCAAACTCCAGCTCACAGCTCCAGGGTGGGAGTGTTTCCTCCTGGAGTCTGCCTTACCTGGTGCCCTCACAGCTGCAGCTCCTCATCCTCTGCTTGTGCTGGAGAGTGCCAGGACACCTCAGCACCATGGTGCTGTGCAGCCTTACAGCACCCACAGCCAACTGCTGGGTTGGCTTTAGTTGTCCCTAGTGTGAAGGGGCAAATGGGCCATGCCCAGGTGTGCACCTACACTCAGAGAAACCCAGCACAAGCAGCATGGTCAGATTGCACATTCCTTTTAATCTCTGGCTGGGGGTAATCAGCCCCCCCAACAAAACAACCAGGAATCTCAGAACTGAGCTGTTTCCCAGAGGACAGACTGGTGACTGACACCACAGAGCTGCTGCCCAGCAGCAATGAGCCCAGCATGGCACAGGGCTGGCACTGCACATCCATTCCTCAGGAATTCTAGCTCTGCCCTGCTCTGTGTCACTGGCAGGGTCAGGCTGAGGCTGCCTGGGTGCTTCTCTGCCAGAAAGGTGCAGCTTCTATGGCTGAGGAGGAAAAGGGGCTGGAGGAAGAGGCAAAAGACCTCGAGCAGGAGTGCCCACACTTCTCCCTGTCCCTCCACTGCTGTGCTGTTGTCACTGATCCATGAAACTGGAGGGATACATCTCTCCATCTGCTGGTCCCAGAGTAAGGTGCTTGGAGCTGGAGCTGTGCCTGCCCAGCCCCTCCTGCAGTTCCTTTGCTTCCTCAAAGCTCCCAGTCTCAGCCTGCCACACATCCCAGCAGGACCATGTCCAAGGTCAAGGCTTCCTGACCCAGGAGACAGTGTGGGACTTGCAGTGGAAGGCACTAGCAAAACTCAGGAATTTGGGGTCTATCACCATGCTGGCAGTGACAGAAGGCTCCAATTCACCATCACCTTGGGCTCTGCCACCATCTCTGAGGGATCCTCACAGCAGCCTGTGGAGATCTGTTGGACAAGGCTGTGGGAGGCAGCAAGGGCAGATGCAGCTCCACCCTGCACCACTGCCTGCCTGGTGTGGCACAGAGGCACCATTTGGGATCAGCACCCAGGCCAAAAAAAGGACTTGGGCAAAGCAAAAGCAAAAGTAAGCAAGAGTAAGCAATTATCCCCCTGGGTAAATTACCCAGGGCAGTTGTCCCTTGTACAGGAACACTGAGGATCCTCAAGCACAGGGAAAAGTAGAAATCAAGGCAGCAGCAGCAGAGGAAGGAGGGCTGGAGTGGCCATAGCATGTGGTGCTCTCCTCTTTAACCTGGAAAGCACTGAGGCACTGGATGAAGATGAAGGCTGTTACTTGCACATCCACCTTTCTTCTCTCATTCCCTAGGCTTTGTGTGTCTCCAGAAATAATGCAGCATCAAGGAACACAGAAGTAGGAGCAGCAAGCACTAAGGTCTGCTGTGGCATGTTCCCCCTTTGCTGTACATACCCCTGTCCACAGGCCAGGCCTCAGGGACCCCCTCAGACCCCTGAAGTCCTGGCAGGTCACAGCTGGGGTGTGCCCAGGGCTCCCTGAGCAGGCAGAGCAAGGGGATCCCTTATTCCTGGAAGAGGAATTGCAGAGGAGAAGCTGGGACTGGCACACTGGACCTTTGAGCAGTTGTGTCCACACAGTCCCTCCTCACAGTCCCCAGCACATCAGACCTGGGCAAACACACCCTAAGGAGGAACCCCCACGGCAGATCAGCTCTCCAGGCAGCAGAGTGAGGAGGGTGGGATGGGGCACTGCTCTCACACCAGGTATGGAGTGTCCAACACGGCCACCCCAGCTGCCACGCCACCGTCCGCGTGCTCGATGGCCTTCGTGCGCAGCAGGTGCCCAGCAGCCTGGTTCAGCACCATCTTCTGGCCCTGTCTGCGAAGGAAAGGCAAACTGAGCTCCTGCAGAGCACAGAATTTGTGGCATTTAGCTTGGACAGTGTGATTCACCTTCCCTGTCACCATGCAGGGCAGTTAACACACAGGTAAGAGCCCCAGGGCTAACACTAGTTCTCTACAAACAACAGCAGTGCCTGCTAGTGCCTTGGCTTCACTGGCCAACCTGGGCTGACTGCTCTGCACACAGGCAGTGTCAGGGGCTGAATGCTGCCACAGTACCTTAGTTTCTAAAACTGTATGAGAAGGATTTTAATTTATATATATTCCATAGAAACATTTCTGTGGGCCTATAAGGGTTTTAAACAGAAGCAGCAGCTGGTTAGGGTTGAACCAACTACATGAGGCCTTCAGGTACTTCAGAGATCACTAGGGCTTCAGAATAGCACGTGGCTGCAGCCAGAACCAGAGAAGTGCTCCCAGAAATCAGGGGTGAGGCATGTCAGTCCCACGTGGCTGTTACACCAGGAACTGCCAGCAGGACCTCTGTGGTTTTTCAATGACTCATCTGGCAGCAGTTCAGTGTGTGAACATGTGCTCAGAGAGCTGCTGCCAGGGGCACAGACTGGTCCTGTCTGTCCCCTGCACCTCCACATCCCCAGACACCTGTCCTGCTGCTGTGCTCAGGCAGCACAGAAGGGCAAACACGCCTGCCCCAAGTGCTGGCTGGAGCACAGAACCACTCTGAAACACGAGCACGTTCCTCACCTGACGTAGACACCAAAGATACCAAGCTCAGAGATGCATTCGGACACCTGTAGTGGACTGTGAGCCCTCAGCAAGTAATTCAGTGCTGGCTGTGGTTTGATCTTATCCATCAAGATGTAGGAGGTTCTTTCAGGGCTGTCTTTGATCTTCTCCAGAACCTGCTTGAGCTCTTCACCATAGAGGTTGTTCCCTGACAACAAAACCAGCAAGTCAAGCACTTCCCAGCACAGCAGAAGCCACTGGCTGCAGTTGCACAACCCCAGCAGCCCAACCAACCCCAGTCTTTGCCTCCCCACATGCTGCCTGGGCTCCCCACACCCAGTGCTGGGGCCTCAGGAGCTGCTCCACAAGCAGCACTACCTTACTGCCACATCTAGTCCCC